TGGGCCGCAGATACGGATCCCCGCCACCCACACGCACGTGCAGTAGACATGTCCCGGTTCATGGGCTTCCCAGAACTGGGCCACAGATACGGATCCCCACCACCCACACGCACGTGCAGTAGACATGTCACACTTGTGTGGTGGGTGTGTCGTCCCCGGGGTGGGCATTTTGCACCCACAGTGGGCGTGCTGCACTGGGGGGTGTCATGCTCACGTGGGGCATGTCAAGTTTGTGTGCATGTGTGCAAGCGTGAGAACACCCCCGTGAGCACGGTGCCCACTGCCCTCTCACAGGGTGCCCCCACCTCCCCTGAACATGGAGCTTGCTCCCCCCAGCCAGTCCGTCGACACACCCCCATGAGCATGATGCCCACTGTCCTCTCACAGGGTGCCGCCTCCCCTAAACATGGAGCTTGCTCTCCCCAGCCAGTCTGTGGCCCCAAAAAGGTTGGGGACCGCTGTACTAAGGAATGCAGATATCAACAAGAATACAAGTCAGATACAACTGGACCAACTGACTTTCTCTTAGGGGTATAATGCATTAGGTACATGGTGCGACAATTCATAAAACTGCCTGGATTCTTACTATGTATCATCTCATTTTCTTCATCCAGAATATTATCTCACTGTAAGTAATGGATTAGATTCAGGTTACAGTGCCTGAACTTAGACCCCATTGAAACAAAGAGGATGTTCATAAGATTTGTTCCACTGATTCCAATAGTACCCACATTCAATTCATTTATCCCAGACCCAAACCATTTTCATAAGGCTGTGTATGCATTGCCAGTGTGCTTATCATTCTCTCTCATTTGAGACACATAGCATATTTATCTTTCTACTTTAATTAATTATAAAGTATATTTCCATGGTCTGTCTTCAGACTGACGAAAACCAAAGTATCAAAAAACAAGCCCATTCACTTCTCAGTGAAGGGCCTACAGATGTTCACAGCAGGGCTGGAGTCTTTGTGGCTCTGCAGCCAAACTGGACCTTCCTTGGGTCCTGTACAGTCCTCTGAGCTTCCTGAGATGACTACACTCCAATGTCCACAACACCATTATCTTTCTCGTGGTGGGGTGGGGTGGATAAATTCTGAACAAATTACATTCCACTTAACATGATCCCTTTGCACACACAATTCCTCAGATCTAGCTTAAAGCTTTTAAAAAAACTAAATTTATGTTTTAACTCCATGAATTGTTTGGCTCAAAATAGAAGCTGTGAGTAAAAGGTGCCAGGATACAAAATTTTCAAGCTGCAGATCATCGACGGCATGCTTCTGTTCATAAATACACAAAGTGAGCTACACCTGTTTTGGAATAAAAGGAATCCTTATGTCTGATGTTTTCATGAATGCAGGACAAGAGATATCCAAGAGAGGAGTAAGAATTCAAATGCAGAGGGAAAGCTTTTTTACCTCCAGGTAGGACTGGGAAAGACTCTTGTTTGAAACCCTGGACAGCTCCTGCTTTCCAGTGTGCACAGGAATGCCCACACTTGATCTACTGTAGCTGATTGGCAAGGGTTTCCAACTCCGGTTACAGTGTTATTACAAATAAAAATATATTCCTCTTAAATTAGGTAGCTGAAAAATAACACCTGGAGTAAAACCAAATTTTGTACAGAAGGATTGGAGAAATTCGTTCAGATAATGATCACAAGTCCTGGGCTGTGATCAATCATTCTTGGCATATGTCCACCTTGTATTACATCTGGTTCTGGCTGATGGACTTCACAGTTCCAGTAAAAACCAAAGGGGATCCTGCAAGCCCAAAGCCTGCTCTACCCACATCTACAGTAAGCACTGCTAAACTAGAAAGGCTTATTGCCAGTCTCAGTACAGGGCAGCTTGCTATAGTCCAAGTTTCAACATTTATCTTCAGAGCAACCTTATGTCTTGCTCCACCTGAACAATAATGCTTAAAATAAGTTACCCAGGCCATTTTGACTGAACACATTGTTCTATGCTACCCTATGCTACAGCGTAAGAACTGCAGTCTGCAGGAAGATAAAGGGCCAGACCTACAATGGAATGAGGTGACCACATCAGCAGCCCTTCCACTTTTCCATCTGAGGCACCAGGAGTTCCCCAGTATTAAAAGACAGAACTGTGCATCTCACAAAACTTATCTGGGTGCTCCTAAAACGTATGTGCTGCCTCAAATGTGGTGAAAGACACCATCCTGTCAGCAATGTTAAAGCAAAATTCATCTACCAGTTCAATTGCCCTCTCTACATGGAGTGGAGGGCACCGCCTTCTCCTTTGCTTCTGTATGTAGAGTGGGAGTGTCACCTGTTGTTCTTGTTTCAGTTCACTCTGGCCCCTAGTGAGCAGAGTATTCATTTGCCAAGCTCAGAAAAATGGAAGAATGGAGTCACATACACTATCCTGATCTTCTTGCAGAAAAGCCTGATATTAAAATATACAGGCATTTGTTACACTGATCACTTAGCAGTAATGGTCTCATAATTTAGAAATGTTTAAATTTTCCATTTAATAAACTGTAAATAAAAAGTAATAAAGGAAAATGTCTGTAGTCTGAGAAGTAGTGCAATTAAAGAGACAAGTTTCAAGCTTTTTTTAAAAAAAAGGTTTTGTCCACTTTTTAAATGCCTAAAATGTTTTGTTCCGTTTATTCTGTGGGCATTAATTTTACAATGTACAAACATCGCTTAGAGACTGTTTCAAAACTTTACTATGGACTCATTCAGGCAGACTATGTGTTTCTCTATGTGTATCAATTCAATTTTGTGTTAATGACTTTGACATTTGTCCAGATGACACAAAGCTTAAATCAGTACCAACAGTGACAAAAAGGGACAAAAACTCAGACTCTCCAGGTTTTAAAAAACCATCTCCTGTAGATAAAGGCCAGAATCCTACTGACAATTTTACAAATATAGGCAAAACTTTGAAAATCATGGTAGCAAATTACTATTAGTTAATGAGGAATTTGTTGCATTTTGGAACACACCCACAAATGCAACCAGCACTTCATTAATTAGCTTCAATTTGTTACCATCAATTACGCATGCATACATCATCAGTAAGGTGCTGGCTTTCCTTTGTTAAGTTTCACTTTGTAGGAGGTGGAAAGAGCTTCTTGGCTCAGAAGCTTTCAATATGATGCTAATTCACAAACAAACAATACAGAGGACTATTTTTAAAGGACTGCCATTGTTGAAATGTTATGAAAGGCAGCTGATTTTGAAAAGCAAATTAGCAGTTCAACATGCCTCTGCTGAAAAGGGTGGGAAATGGAAGCTCACAATTATAGCTAATCTATCTTTTTCATTTAAAAAAGAACCTGACAGAAGATCATTCTTGATGCAGTTCCTCCAGCTTTTAAAAATATTTTCAAATCTTTCCTTGAAAATACACTGACTTCTTAAAGAGAAGGGTTTTAGGCATGTATGGGCAGAAACCCTGGTAAGATCCATATTCATCTGGCATCACGGTGTACAACCTGCACAAAATAGGGGAGGGAGGAAAACACTAAGCTTGAATGATTCCTAAGTGTCACTGCCATTCAATGAGATTTCAACACAGATTGCAAAAGATGTTTGTACACATTGCTGAATTAATGCCCCTGAAGATCGTCAAATAAATTGCCATGTGTTGGATATTTTTTAAAATGTTGGGCATTTGAAAAGGTTCTGTGACTTTTAACTTTTTCTAATCTCTTTGGATTTGCTTTTAGCATAGTTGCAGTACAATCTTAAATTGAATAAGGTGTGTCAGCTGCAAACAATGGCCCTGAGCATACACAATTTTTCATAAGTCTGCACCTTACATTGACAGGTTTTTAAAGTCCATTCTACTGAACAGTTTTCATCTTCCCACTGCAGGTCAGTCTTTGAAACTGTCTAATCCAGAATTTATTAAATCTGGAAAGAATTGAATGAAGCAACAAGGCAACTGACAAAACAAATATGTTTATCTGTGGAAGCAAATTCCATGGAATTTAAAGTAACAGGTGATTCTCATACTGTACCCAAATCCTAAGAATGTCAGTGAAGCTGGCAAATTATATTTTGCTGAAAAACAATCTCATTTGTTTTCCTTTGGAAAGCAAAATTAAATAAATAGATAAAAATTATAATTTATCACAAATAACTGGTTAATCGTCAATCTTGTTTTATACGTTGACTTCCATTCATTTTGAAGGGTCCACTAAATCTGTACCATTTACTTTTAAAGTTATTTTTAAACACAATGCCTTTCAAAAAAAAAAGAAAACCCTGCTTGCAAGTGGGTAGAAGCCGGCAAATTTTGCAGGGCTGCTATTTTTTTAAAGGGTGTGTTTGTTTATATTAAATGGGCGGGCTGTGTTTGGTTATTTTCCCCTCTGCTTTACCAAATGCAGTCCCTGCAGTGGGAGAAGTCAGTAGTGGTCACAGCTGATAAGCACAGGAACAGCTTTCTCACTGTTGGTGAGGAGAGATTCTGGAGTCACTCCTCCTCCCGTCCTGAGGGCTTTCAGGAAAGAAAGTTATTCATGTGTACGACAATCTTACATTTTTTTCTTAAAATAAAATAAAGGGGAAGATGCAGGCAAAAGCCGAAGGAGCAAACTCCAGAAGGACAGGGACGGCCAGGTAAAAGAGAAGCACGAAAGCACAATACACGTATCGTAAAAAGAGGGACAGACCTTCAACACTTAGGAAAGCCAAGAACAAAGAGGTGGCCTTAGGATGGTCAAGCCTGCACTCCGCCAAAGGGCAGAAATACACACACACACCACACACACACACTTGCACGAGCACACCTCAGGAGCAGACTTGCTTCTTCTAGTTGAAAAACAGAAACTGAAGAGGGTGGGGAGGAAATGTCCTGCAAACCAAGACTGAAAAGCGGGGAGGTTTTTCCTCAAAGTGCTCGTCCGCCAGTCCATACATTCGGAAACATGAAAGAGGCTTTCGACTCGCCGCTTTGTTATTGTGAAAGAAAAGCGCGGGGGGGGGAATAAAGCCACGCGGGGCCGCTTTGCTTTTACCCTCCTCCTCCTCCATCCCGCTTTCGCCGATAGCTTAGGTGCGCCTCCCTGGCTCGACGCGAGGCCGCTCTTCCCCGCTGGGTCGCCCCACCGCTGCAGCCCCGGCAAAGAGCTCCAGGTGGAATTACAACCTAGGCTTCCTCCGGCACTCTTTAGCCGGCCGCGAAATCCACGCCCCGGCCCTTTGCTCCGCCTACCCGGCTCCAGGGCGCTCAGCCGCCGGAGCGGCCGCCCCCGTTTTCTGCTGCTGGTGCCGGCGGTCCGGCATGAAGCCGGCTATAAATACCTCACAGAACAAGACTGAGCTGCCGTTTGCTGCCTTAGGGTTATGTTGAGGGCACAGGGAAAGTCGTGAAGAGGCACGAGGCCCTGGCCGCTGGGCCTCGTGCCGCCTCATTAGTGACAGGGAAAAAGTGCCCGTTTCCTTTGGCAACAGTTCAGTAACACGAGGAGGGGGAAAGTGTTTGAAGGGGTGTTGCAGAATTGGTGGCAAACTGGGAAGGCGTTAGTCGAGCGGGAGCTTTTCCTTACATGTATTGTTTCATTTCTGAAAAGAGGAAACAATGGCATGTTGGGGATAGGTTTCCATCCTACTTGCCCTTTTTCTGAAGTCTTACTGATTTCCGTTCAGTTTCTGAGGAGGTGCGCCTGGAATTGCAGCCTTTGAATTTCTAGTTCATGGTGCAGATACCCTGGCTGAAGGGATAGAGGATTTGGAAGCTGTATTACACTGGAGGTGCTCAAGGCGTACTCTTTTCCCTTCAGTAATACGGAAAGGGTTTGGGGCGGCAGATCCCCAAGTATCTCAAAATCTGTGTATAACTCTTGATGCCCCCCCAAACATAACTACAACACATAAACAGTATTCTCTCTCTCTCTCTCTCTCTGTACACTTCTCCCTTCAGTAATAAAGGGGTTGGGACAGCAGATCCCCAAGTAGCTCAAAATCTGTGTATAACTCTTGATGGGCCCCCCAAGCATAACTACAACACATAAACAGTATTAACACACACACATACAGACCTCTTCCCAAACTGCATCAAACTCGCAGCATGCCCCAGCACCCTGCTCCACTGCTGTGCCAGGAGGGGCTAGTAGGGCCACTGATTTCAGATCAGGCCCCCACCACACCAACAGGGGTCTTGGTAAGCCCAAGACCCACCTTTCTCAAACCACTTCCTGATGAATAGCAGCACAGTATTCATTTGTTTGTTTATGTGTTGTGTTTATTTTGTGTTTATTTGTTTTAGTGTTTGTTTATTTATTTATTTGGAAAAAATCAGTGTATAACCAAACTGGTACTGCTCAGAGGAACATTTGTTTGTTTGTTTATGTATTGTGTTTATTTTATGTTTGTTTATTTGTTTTGGTGTTTATTTATTTGGAAAACAGTGTATAACCAAACTGGTACTGCTCAGAGGAAAAGTTGAAGGGCTGCTGATGTGGTCATCTCCCTGCAATTCAAGGGAGAAGTGTATCTTCATAAGGACATGGCACAGCTTGGAAAAGTATGGTTTTGGACTACAGTTCACAGAATGCTCCAGGCAATGTGGCCATACTGGCTCGGGAATCATGAGAAGTGTAGACCGAACAAGCAGGTTTTCATGCAGAAAGTTTAGCAAGTGGAACCATTCTACTAATGACATCTGAAACTGGGCAAAGTTGTGGGCAGGACCTGGGAGACACAGGGGAAGATCAGCTGCCACATTCTCAATTCTTCATCTACTACAGTATCTCTGTTTGTAGGCAGGTGTTTACACCAGCCCTAGCCTCGCAATAAGAAATTAGCATGCATATAACTTCAGTGGGAGGGATTTGAAGAATTTTGTTTAAAAGCCACCCTCTGCTTGACAGAACTAAGCAAAGACATGCCTCAGCACCCCATCACCACATAACTAGTACATTAAGGCAAGACCAAACGTTTTGTGCATGATTTTCTTTTCAGGATATTTGGGGTGCTACAATGTATTTTTTTCCTTTTGTTTTGGGTTTCTTGTTGAAATATTTGTGCAGACTAACATGGCTACAACCCCAAAAACATTTAAACTACAAAAGATACAAGCAGATATTTGGGCAGGGATTCTAATATGCAGTAAAATACAATGCAAGTTCTTTTTGTCTCTCTCTCTTCCTCACACACATCTTTTATACTTTAAAAGGGCAGTTGCAAAATGTGGTGTAAATAATAGGGAAGGGAAGACCTGTCCTTTGTTATATATTCCTGTAAATATTAAATCATACGAACTCTCAAACATCAAACAACAGTCACTCTTCTCTTAGAACCATATTGTGTGTTATCTGCGATTAAATCATTTTCAACTTATGGCAACCCTAACAGGGTGTTTGAAGTATGTGATACATTTATCATTGTCCCCTTTCCATGGCTGAGTAGAAATGTGAATCCAAAACTCCTGAGTTTTAGTTTGACTCTTTATGCATTAGACTGCAGTGGCTCTCAGAATCATATTACAGTACAGTAGTAACTCTGCTGGAAGAAACACACCAACTAAATGTTTTTAAGCACACAAGCGTTCCAAAATGTTATCTAGATATTACTTCTCTTTGTAGAAGCCAAGCTGATTCATCCTCAGTAAGGTTTATTCTTTTATACATTCCATATCCATTCTACCTATGTATATGGACTGGACATCAGGAATTTATTTAATGCCCAAGCTCCATCACTAAGCTATCTCTGGGAACCATACTGATTCTGGTGACAAATTGTATATCATTATTTTGGTTAGAAGATCAATATTTTCTCATCTGATCCATTCATACATGCACCCCATGATATGTTGATTTGTACGTTATCAGCTGTGCCTGGAACTTTATTATATTCTCCACGTGATATATTTCTTCATATATCCATTCCCTGCAACAAATATGGCTCAAATTGGGAGGATGGGTGTTTGATATGTTCCACAGTGGGGAAAAAACCTGTAATCCAGTTAGCTTCCCTACAGTCTCCAAACCTCTTTAAGAAATCATTTCACACCTTTCTTAGAAGGCAACTCTGGCTAGTTTTTAGCTTCATACTGGATTATACTGTCACATTGTTTTAAAGCTTCAAAAACATATTCAAATTCTCCCTTCCCTTCCTTTGTTTTTATCAATTTACATTTGCTTTGCCAGTATTTCTGCTCCTCTTTGTATTTGGGCAAAAACGTAATATACTGAAAGGAGGCATTCTAGCCATTCTGTGTCACTGCTTCTCAGCCTCAATGGATTTATCTTAGCCTTGGATGTACAGTAAAGCTTCCATGGATGTAGTGTTTTGCAATCCTTCCTAACCTCATTTGGAAAAGCTTGGAAAAGTTATACTTCTGGCAGCTCCCAAAAATGCCTAGCTAGCATATTCTGGGAGTTATTGTTCAAAAGAAGTAACTTTTCCAAGCCCCACGTCATTCAGTCTTAAGGCTTTTTCATTGTGGATCACACGGCTAGAAATGCAATGATTAGAAGTTATGTCATTCAGTTATTAAATGTGCAGGAGCTCCATAGTTTGTGTTGGGAGATACTACTTCAATCCTAATTCAGACATATTGATAACTGTTAAAAGATAAAATGCTGTTATTTATATTTTTCCGATGGGCAAACTAAGCCAAAGCCATTACTTGTTCAAGTTCTCCTGATCCCCCACATAGTTGTTGCAGTCATGTCATGCAGATAAGGATGTTGAATATTTCAAGCCTCAGCTGATGATCACTGAAAGCAGAGGGAGTAGAAAACTGAACATAAATTAATTATCTGCCACAACACTCCCACCCATTCCCAGGCTGTATGTACACATGCAGATAAATATGATGGAGTAGACTATAACACTGCCGGCAACTGGAGAGGAAGGACCTTCTTTGGGTGTTTTGTCACATTGAACACCTCCCAGAGAGAGAGAGAGAGAGAGAGAGAAACAAAACTTCTCACCCCAATCATTCACCTGCGGTGCTGGAGTTACTTGGATTGAGCTGCTGATTTGGCGGAACAAATAACAAGATCTCCCAAATTTAGAGGTACATGATAGACCACTTTGCCATGCTGTATGTGTAGACCAGGGCCTTCATGGCTCTGAGCAAAATTTGTTTAAAATCCAGCTCATTTTACAACCATGCCTCAAATCAAATTTTAAGGGTTTTAATGACTACTCTCACTGTACAGGTTGGAAACTGAGGTTGAAGCAGTATGACTTACCCAGGATTTCCCCTTGATGCTGTTTTCCCCATAGAACAACCTGGGCACTCAGTGAAAGGAAGGATTTGATTTCAATTCTGCCTGCTGCTGCCTTCCTGAATATTTATCTGTGTAGTTCTTTTTATATTTTTATATCTGTGGGTTGGATGTGGTTAAGGTTCTTTACGTTATATATATAAAAATTAAAGAAACATCCAACCTAAACAACGTAAACCTAACACCACAATAAAATACAATTACACCAGTGCCACCTTTCACCCTCAGGGCTAGCATTAATAATATTTTTAAAATTCATTCAATCTGTTTTCTCTCCAAAAATTCATTGTTTCTTCCCTCGGCGTATACACCTTCCCTCTCTGAAATACATATTCCAGAAATACACTCTATATTTTCTTAAAATCATTATTTTTGATAGGATAGGCCTCCTATTATTTTCATATCATACATCAATTTATCATTAATTGCCATATCCCATAATTCTCTATACCATTCCTCTGAATTAATTTGGTTATCATTTTTCCAATTTCTTGCAAAAATTAACCTTGCTGTCGTAACCATTGTTACAATTAAATCATTGTTTTCTTTCAACAATTGATCTTTCTTAACCATGTTCAATAAAGCCATTGATGGGGATATTTTAATATTTAATGCAGTTATTTCCCTTATTTTTTTAAAGATTTGCTTCCATTCTTTCTTTCTTATTTCAAATAACCACCACATATGTAAATACGTCCCCTTCTCTTTTTTACACCTCCAACATAGTGATGATACATTTTTATTTATTATATTCAATTTTACCGGTGTTAAATACCACCTCCATATTAACTTATAATAATTTTCCTTTATCCTTAAAGACATGTTCTTCATCTTTGATCCCACATTTTATCCCATTCTTCTCCTACTGCTTCTTTATCCAAATCATGTTGCCACTGTGCTTTTAATTGTTGTGTATCCTGTTCAGCCAGAATTAATAGTTTATATATTTGATTGACAGTTCCCTTTCTTTC